CAACGTCCTCCACAACTAGACTGAAGAACAAAACGACAGCAATTTGTCTGTTCCCCTTCCCCCAATTCCCCAATAAAAATCTTTAAAAAAAAAAAGTAACATATGCTCCTTGACCCTGAAGAGTATACGATCTAATTGATGAGCAAGGTAGACACAAAAATTACTGTACAGTGTGGTGAGCACTATTAAAAATAAATGAGCAGGGGCGACTGGTTGGCTCAGTTTGTTAGAGCGCAGTGCTCATAACACCAAGGCTGCCGGTTCGATCCCCACATGGGCCACTGAGCTGTGCCCTCCACAACTAGATTGAAACAACTACTTGACTTGGAGTTGATGGGTCCTGGAAAAACACACTTCCCCAATAAAATAAAAAAATTTTTTTAATTAAAAATAAATAAATAAATAAATGAGCAATGGAATATTATTCAACCATAAAAAAGAATGAAAATTTGCCATTTGTGAGAACATGGATGGACCTAGAGGATATTATGCTAAGTGAAATAAATCAGAGGAGGACAAATACCATATGATTTCACTTATATATGGAATCTGAAAAACAAAATAAAATAAAACAAACTCATATACAGAGAACAAATTGGTGGTCACCAGAAGTGGGACATAGGGGACTTGGGGGATGGGTGGAAAAGGTGAAAGTGATTAAGAAGTACAAATTGCAGGTTATTAAAATAGTTACGAGGATGTGAAGTACAGCATAGGGAATGTAGTCAATAACATTGTAGTAACTATGTACTGTGTCAGAGGGGTATTAGAGCACTTTGTAAGGTATATAAATGTCTAATCCCTACGTTGTACACCTGAAACTAATATAATATTGTATGTCAATTATAATTAAAACATAAATTTAAAAAATAAATGAGGAAAATGATGAGCTAGCACATTGCAGTTGCTCTGGGAGAATCATGAGAGGATAAAAGTAAAATTTTTGCTGATCTTAAAAAATGAGTCTGAGTAACAAAATTTTTATTTTTCCCTAACTTTATGAACATAGCCGAAGAGAACAAGAAGAAAGGAGACTGTCTCTACCATTTACTTAGCTATGTGACTTTGGACAGTTTAAGCTCTCTGAAACAGTTTTCTTACCTTTAAAACGGTAATAATAATTCACAATTTTGAAGGTTAGAGAGATGAAATTTGAAAAATGCTTAGCATGAAGGCACTCAAATATTACTTCCTTTCTCCCTTTCTCTGAGGTTAACAGGAATTTGAAACAAATGGTAGGAAGATAATATTTTTTTCATTATCCCCTTGTGCTAATAAGCTGTTCAATTGGCATACAGTTTTACAAAAATTACAGCAATTTTTATTGAGTTCCACTGTCTTAGTCCTCCCAGGCTGCTATAACAAAATTTATTTCTCACAGTTCAAGAGTCTGGGAAACTCAAGTCAAAGTGCCAGTGGAGTCAGTAGTGGCTAGTGAGGGCCCACTTCCTAGTTCACAGACAGCTAGCTTTGGGTTGTCGGAAAAGTCATGACGTATTTTTTTCTGTTTTTCGTTGCAAAAATGCATCATGACTTTTCCGACAACCCAGTATTTTTTCACTGTGTCCTCACATTGCAGAAGCTATGAGCTTTCTGATGGGCATTAATCCCCTTCATGAGGGCTCCATCCTCATCACCTAATGACCTCATCACCTTCCAAAGACTCCCACCTTCAAATACCATCATATTGAGGATTAGGTTTCAATGGATGAAATTTGGGGAGACATAAATATTCAGTCTCTAGCATCCACCTTAAATTTTTCTCTGAGACATTACCTGTTTAGCTTATAAGTTATCTTTGTCCTCTCCTTGAGTTTAAATTGTAATTATTGTCTTAGAAAATTCCCAACATAATTTCTAAAGCTCTATCAATTGATACATTTTATTTCAAACAGAACAGACTATGTATGTGTCATGGAATGTAGAATTGCTTCTTGATTATTTAAGTTGCTTATACGTCAGAACTAAAATAATTGGGTCTTCTAAAGCAATGATTTCTTTGCAGAGCATCATTTCTTAACTATTTAAGATCATAGATAGCCTTGTGATTCCTGGAAAAATGTACCTACATCATTTTTTCATAAGTCTTCAAGGAGTTCATGGACCTCTTAAAGACTATTCATAGATCTCAGGTTAAAAACAAGCTTTGGGTCTATTGTCAGCACACATAGATTGATTGACTCCCTGTAAATACAAGGCACTTTGTGAAGTATTACTGCTATAAGCACCACGAAAGTTTTACATTTATATATATATATAAACACCACCCAATTAGAAATTGAATTCTTGTGGAGTGTGTTTTTGTAGTAATAAGTAGTAGATTTTCTTTTAGCTGTTAGGATTTTTAGTTCTGCTAGCCATGATATATATATATATAGCTTGCCATTTCGTCTGTAATGGTAATTTTTCCCTTTAGACCTGGAGTTAGAGCTGTTGATAAATTTGCTTTTAAAATCTGTTTAGAAATTATTTCTGTCTTATTTTCAACCTAAAATACACAGGGCTTCAGGAAGAGCTTATATAAAAGCAGTAAAATGTATACTTCATGGAAGCATTAAGTGACTAAAAGTAATATTTTGTTTTTCACTTTATTAAATAGCACCAGTAACTCCAGATAGTGGTTATTCATCAGCCCATGCAGAGGCCACCTATGAAGAAGACTGGGAAGTATTTGACCCGTGAGTTTTTTATTTTTGTTTTCTTTCCCTTTTAGAGCAGAATGAAGGTACATGTGTGGAGGGGTAGCTAAATATATTGCAAAGAGCATGTGACATATAGGTATTAATACTTTTACTGAGTTATTAAAATACTAATTTGTATATTTACAGTTTTACTTACATGTTTTACATGTTTGGTTTACTAGAATAAGTGTGCAGTATTTAATTAAAGATTTAAAGATGGGCTGAATTTAGCAATATGTCTTCTCAAAAAGTAGAAATGTTGAAATTTTCTTAATATTTGATTTATAGCTATTATTTCATCAAACATGTTCCACCACTGACAGAAGAACAGCTAAATAGGAAACCTGCTCTTCCATTGAAAACAAGAAGCACACCAGAATTCTCACTAGTTTTAGACCTGGTAAGTATATTATTTGTAGATGTAGGAAAAATAAAGGAGTTAAACTCCGTTTAAAAAATGAGCCCCAAATGCCTGAAAGAATATAAGTGAATGAATAGCCTTACACATTTGCTATAAACGTGTCTTAGGTGCTCTGAAATGTTTTTATATTAAGCATAGCCCTAATGCTAGGGTCCCCAACTTGGCTAGTTATAGTTACCCTTTGAAAATAAATTAAGCTTTTATTTTTGTGTTGAAATAATTCTTTCCCCCACACTCCTGAGACCCTTGTGATATTTTTTTTAATCTCCCAATAAGTCTTAATTTCATTTTGTGCCTAGATTTCACCTTTTTGGGGTCACGATTATGTTTCCCTGAAGGACCAAATATAATCTGGGCCTCAGTGTATTAACTTTATGCAAGACCATACTCCTTTTCCTATTCTTATTTTTGTGTATTATCTAATGACTATTAATAGACTCTCAAAAGCATAAGCTCTTTTTTTTTTTAAGATTTTTATTGGGGAGTTGGGGGATGGGAACAGTGCTGGGGAATTGGGGGAAGGGGAACAGACAAGTTGCTGTCGTTTTGTTCTTCNGAGAGAGAGAGGGAGAAGAGAGGAAGGGAGGGAGGGAGGGAGAGGGGGAGAGAGAGAGAGAGAGACAGAGACACAGAGAGAGAGAGAGAGAGAGAAATAATGCCTAGACACAGTAGGCATATAATAAATGATATTTGCTGTAATGTAAAGAAGTTCTATAGTCAATAATACTGTATCATATGCTTCAAAGTTGCTAAGAGAATAAACCTTAAATGTTCTAACCACAAAAAAAAAGAAATGATAATTATGTTGTGGGATAGAGATGTTAGCTAATGCTAGATTGGTAATCATATTGCACTATATAAATGTATTAAATCAGTATGTATGCCTGAAACTTACACAATGTTATATGTCAGTTATATCTCAATAAAAAAATTTAAAAGTTCTAAATTATTACTTGTTTGACTATAAATGGGTGTTTCTAAACTATTTGAACACTTTTAAAAGTTTGTTCACAAATATTACTCTAGCTTATAATAGTCTTTATTCCTCATTGTTTGAAATGTCTAGAAGAGACTCACTGAACAATGGTATCTGTCCACAGGTTTGTTTCTGTTGTATTTAGTTTTTTGAAATATTTGAGTTTTTATTTTTATTGAAATATATTTGATATAACATTGTGTAAATTTAAGGTATACATATTGATTTGATGCATTTATATGTTGTAATATGATATCCATTATAGCTGTGGTTAGCATTGCTATCATGTTGCATAATTATTCTTTTTATTGGTTGGAATAATTAAGTTCTAGTCTTTTAGCAGTTTGATGCTTATAATAAATCTTGTCTGTATTCACTTAACTGTTCAATAGATCTTTAGAGCTTATTTACTAATCATTGTAAGTTTGTATCCTTAAACATCTGTTTTACCCTCTCACCCCTATGAGTTTTTAAATGATGATTGTGAGTACACCAAATCACGTTTCAGGAACATCAGGATCCGATTCCCCAGGACAGGCTGTGGAAGCTGAAGAGATAGTAAAACAACTTGATATGGAACAGGTGGATGAGATCACTACCAGTACTACTACATCAACTAATGGAGCAGCTTACTCAAATCAAGCAGTTCAAGTGAGGCCATCAATAAATAATGGTTTAGAAGAAGCAGAAGAAACAGTTAACCGTGATATCCCACCCCTTACAGGTGAAGAAAATTCCTTATGGATCTTCATGAATAATTTTTTAAAATACAGTATTTTATATTTTTGCTTAAATAGGCAGATTAAGTGCATAAGTCTTTCTTCCTTGAAGTTAAGAAAATTAAAATTGGAAATAAAACTTTCTCCCCAAAATTTAGTCATTTTGAAATTGAAGTTTTTTAAATAGATTGTTCTGACTATTAATCATTTTACAGTTTAATTATTTGTACCAATCTTACTACTTGGAGAAATTTAACACAACTAGCAAAATATGTGCTCATGGTTATGAACATACTTATTATAATTACACCAGTCTTAGACCCTTAGTTCTGAAGTTCCTACCTAGAGGTAGTAGTCTCAGACCTCCATATTTGTTTCATACATAGATGACATCCCCCAAAAAGGAGATTCTGTCCCCAGATATCTCCCAATACTCAAACTTTACAGCCTAATTCTGGATCCTTATAAAGGCCTAATACAATTCTTGGGTTCCTGAGCCACTTGTTACAGAAATGTAGAGACTCGTGAGATTATAATTTATTACCTTTGAGGGTTGTGGTAGATAGACATATAAGGCTAAAAGATGAAATTGTGTTCCATCATGCTTAAAAGCAGAAATAAATTGAGGATGGCCATCAGAGGGAGAAGATCTTTGACTTTTATATTAGATTTTTGTTGTTGTTTTTTAATTCCTTGTGTGCCAGGTATTTGAGAGAGACTAGTTAAGAAGTATAGTTTGGCATAAGGAAGTAGAATGATGTTCTTCTCTTGATTATAATGGGCAAATTAAGAAAAAAAATCATTGAAATAGTAGAAAACAAAGAAAAATCATACAATTATGAAACTTCTATAAACTGCAACCCAATAATACCCATATGAAGAGAAAAGCAGCATAATAGAGGATTCATATTAAGTTCGTCAAAAGATTAATGCCTATAATGTTATAATTTAAGAATAATACTGAATCTATCTAACAAGCTAATCAATATGGATTATGCACATAGTTCATTCTTGAGTGGATAAGACTTCAAATGAACCTACTGTTGACTTATTTTATGCTGATTACTCTGCCCAGTGTTACAGGCTATTGAATGGTAAAGTCCAAGGCTTTTGGCTCCCTACTTGATGTTCTGTATTTTTGTGCTGCGTATAAACCTTTGTATTTATTTTTTCTGACAACTATGAAGATGGAGAATTTCTATAACCTTAGTGGTTTCTAGAGGGGAAAGTAAGATTTACTCCAGGTATCTCATCCACTTGTTTAATCCCGCAACATTTAATGAACATATATTTTTTGTGATGGGCACTGTTTATAAAAATGAGTAATAGGGCCGGCCGAGTGGCATGATGGTTAAGAACTTGCTTGGGATGCCAGAGGTCCCCGGTTCGGATCCCACATATGAGGGCCAGTGACACTGCCCTCCACAGCTAAAATGCTGAACAACAGCTCAACCTGGAGCTGGGCTGCTGTGAGTCGCCTGCGACAGCGTAGGCTGCAGCCCCTGTGGCAGTGGATTGCCATGGGCTACTGTGTGTAGGCAGCAGCCAGCGTGAGCGGCCAGCAGCCGCAGTGA